TACTTAGGAATAGAAAGCTGCCATGAGAGGTATCTATGGAATGTGTTGGAAATTTGTGTCTGCATTAGACTCACCTAGAGATCTACTGAGTCAGAAACTAAGGCCTCAGGCATCTGTAATATTTGAAGTTCTCCACATGACTTTTGCCTCCAAAGTCTGAGGGCCACGAGCTACCATTATCTCTTTGTTCCTTTGTTTCCTCTTACATCAAATTGCTCAGTGAGAGAAGGCTTAAGCAATTCTCCCTCCTCCCCTATTGGATTTAGTTTTCAAAACAGATATGTGTGTATGCCTGAAAAGAAAATTAGAAAGCAGAAGCAGATTTTTGGTAGGTTGTAAATTTTCTTTTGAATTTTTCATCTCCATGTGAATCAAAGCAGGACTTATTTTAGCAACTTTGTGAATACAATTTACCAAAGTGTATTACACTATTCTTTATCACAGCGAGACAGGAAGGTCAGTGGAATTGCTTGATTTTTCTTTCTCGTTTACCATAATTTTCTCTTTAAGATCTCAGAGTACGGATTTAAGCTACTGGATATGCAGGTTATTTTTATTTTTTGTGTGTGCCCACTTCTATATTTTGGAATAACTTTAGCAAAGTATACATTTTAAACTCTTTTGGAGACATTCTTAGATATAGCAGCCTCTTAGTTGACTTCCTGTTGTAGTTCTCCTAATGTTTGCTCCCTGGCAATAAGGAAAACTTCTGTGTCGGTAGAAGAAACTCATCTGGGGCTGGGCTGAGCCAGGGAAGGTGGGCAGGAAGGCAAGGTGAAGCCTTCATTTTGTCTACACTTCCACAGAGAATCCTTACATGCACTGTACTCTTCTTTTCTCTCTCATTACCACACTGCAGATTTGGGCCCTTGGATGAGCTTAAGCCTTCACCTGATTTACGACCTATGACTTTATGGTTGTTAGGTCTTGAGAAGAAATGACTGTTTCTGAACATCTCCCAAGACGATTTTCTATGTGGTTAAATTGCACTTTGCTTTTCATACTGTGATGAGATTATTTCCCCAAATAGCTTTTTCATGGTTCCAGGAGAGCAATACAGAGCAACTTGAATAGAGCGTAGGACCTGTCTAGGCCTAGTGCAATACTTAAAACAACCCCTAATTTCCTGGTGTGTGGCATTGTCCCTTAGCCACCCATTGCCTTCCATTAAAGTGCCTCATAATGCTTGGCCAAGATACAAGAAAGGTGTCGATCACCTGCTCCTGCCTTGTCCATCAAAACGTATCCATTCCATCCTATCTTCCCATTGCATAGTAGAACATACTGGATACCAACTTATGCAGATGGATACAGCTCAACCCCATTCAAGCTAGCTAAGGTATTTTCCCCAGGTAATGTAAGGTGTGAACCTGATTGCAATGCATACACTTTAGGGAAGGAGCTACAGAGTTATTCTTTTAAACAAATAGTATTTGTAGTTTTGTGGAGTTTTATTTAATTATGAAACCTATGCAGATATTATACAAATTTTGGAAAATACAGAAAAGCCCAAGGAAATGATTAAAGTCATATATAATTCCACAACTCAAAGAAAACTACTGTTAACATTTTGATGTGTATTATTCAAGTTTTTGTTTAAGAATATATGTGATAGGACTGTACATTCTCTTCTCTTTACTTGCTTTTTTCTATCTAAGAGAGTATTTATGCTGTCATACCATAGATAGTTTTCTAAACTCTGTGGCTTATGTAGCAGCCAGTTGCTCATTATTGTGCTTTAAATTATTTCTGAATTTGTGTAAAGAATAATGTGATAATGAGAATATTTACAGCTATGTGTTTCATGTGCCTTTTCATGCACCCTTAGAATAAATGTACATTAGTCTAAACGAATCCACACTTGAATTTTTTTTTTGTTCTGAGATGGGGTCTCACCGTGTTAACCAGGCTGGAGTGCGGTGGCATGATCACGGCTCACCCCAGCCTCAATCTCTCGGGCTCAGGTGATCTTGCTACCTCTACTTTCTGAGTAGCTGAGACTGCAGGCACATGCCACCATGCCCAGCTAATTTTTTCTATTTGTTTGTAGACATTAGTTCTTGCTATCTTGCCCAGGCTGGTCTTGAACTCCTGGGCTCAGGTAGGAGCTCCCACGTCAGCCTCCCAAATGTTGGGATGACAGGCATGAGCCACCATGCTGGCCTCTGAAAGGCATTTTGATGTATGTATTGATATATATTGTTAAACTGTCCTTCAGAAAGTGTCATCTATCAAATTTCCCTCCTACCAGCATTTTTTGAGAATTACCAGAATACTTACCCACCTAAAATATTATTATTTTGTAAAAATTTCTACTAACTTGGTAGACACACACACACACACACACAATCTCAGCAGTTTAATTTGAACTTCTGTGTTTAATAGTGGAGTGTTTTATGAATATACTTTCATACATTTGCTACAGTTTATTTACTGTAGTGTTTAAGTGGTGCTTTAAGTGGAGCCTGACCGTTCATTTACTGGTGACCTTGGGTAAAATCCTTCATCTCTCTGTGCTCATACCAACTCTGATAATGGCAGTATCTACTTCATAGAGTCCATATGAAGACTAAAGAGGGTATCACGTGAAGGGTGCCTAGAAAGTGCCAGGCATACATAACATACAGTTATGTTCTCTGACTTTTATATTTCTTCTGACATGAGTTGCCTTTTCATTGTCTTTGGGGTAAATGGGTTTTTTCTCTGGTAGTTTTAAAATATATGTTTTAAGTATCTTAACCCACTATTTACCCTATGTTACAATTTCACCCCAATTTGTCTTTAAATTTTGTTCAAAGTGAGGAAATATTTGAATGTCAAGAAATTCAGGCCAAGGGAAAGCATAGCTTTGGTCTAGGCTGGGTTTTTTTTTTTTTTTCCTGCCTCTCAATCAAACTTCCAGGAGAGTCACCTTCCCTATTGTTGGGATGATCTGGTATTGATTTTAGCCACCAGATTGCAGAAATTGCATTTTAAGCAGGATAACTTGTTATATTACAAATCACCATTGTAGAATAAAACTTCTGCTAAATTTATGTAAATAATGACCATGGTAGATGAAAGGACATGGTTAATATTTCACCATTTTCCATTGATCACTAAATCCAACTTGTCATCATTCCATTAGTGGTGCTATATAATTAGTTACTTCAACTTAAAAGAAGCTTTTAATTTGAGATCAAGATCCCTGATAGATTGTGTAGCCATTAAGTGCTACTACTTTTCCACTCTTTTCTGCAAATTACATAGTAGAAAGAGAATGTTTCTAGCCACAAAGTGTCATGCATAAATGCAAAATATTCCTTATTTTGCCATGTATGCATACTACTAAAAATGAAAGTTTTTCACTTTACCAGGAAAAAAAAATGAACATAGAGAACATTATTTTGCCTTGCTAACAAGGAAATGATCAGAACCATCCTATCAAAAGCATGAAAATTCTGCTTGTGCTGCCAACTTGTTTCAAAAGCTATTAAAAGTGGGCAAATATTGCTGTTGTATATGGATAATGAGAGTGTGTTATATTATTGCTACCAGACTCATATGATTAAAATTTTCCATATAAAAGTGTTTTTAAAAGCAGTGATGTTAATGATGCTTGCCATTAGAGAATGATATTTGGGAGAAGAATAATGAAACCTCAACTTCTAAATTGTATACTTAGATTTCTGTGTATTTTGTTGTTGTTTTACTTCAAGCATGTTTTACTTTTACAACATTTTAAAGAGAAACTATTTAAAACCATGATTTAGATAGTGACTATTATTTTAAGAGTCGTTAATATGTACAGAAGAGGATGCTCACGAGTGCTGAAATAGACACAAAATAGGCAACATTCAGCATTGACTCCAAAGCCTTGTAAATTGTCCTTATGTTTGCAAAGGTTTTTTTCTTTCTTATTTTTCTGTGTCTATTTGATCTGTAATGATTGGAAAACATAAAGCAAAGAAAAGAAATGGCTTCCCAATGCAATTTAGAATTTTAAATTGCTGATTGAGTTCTGGGTGCCTGTGATATTGAACTGCAGATGCCTACAGGCCTTAAAATACAATTGTGTTCATGCCTTTCAATCATATTATTCCTTTCCCAATAAACAAAATGACATAGGACATTTAGCTCCTTCAGGGCACCTATTACCTACATGCAGGAATAAAGACTTGGGAACGCTGAGTAGAATGGGTTTTTTGTTTGTTTGTTTAGATTCAAGAGGTACAAGTGTTGGCTTGTTCTATAGGTATATTGCATGATGGGGAGGGTTGGGCTTCTACTGAGTCGTCATCCAGATAGTGAACATGGTATCCAATGGATGGGAATGTGTCTCTATTTTTTTTTTTTGAGTCGGAGTCTCGCTCTGTAGCCCAAGTTGGAGTGCAGTGGCACATTCACGGCCACCGCAACCTCGACCTGCTAGACTCAGGAGATCCTTCCACCTCAGCCTTCCAAGTAGCTGGAACTACAGGCGCGTGCCACCATGACCACCTAATATTTTGATTTATTGTAGAGATGAGGTCTCGCCAAGTTGCCCAGGCTGGTCTCGAACCCGTGGGCTCAGGCAGTCCTCTCACCTTAGCCTCCCAAGGTGCTGGGATTATAGGCGTGAGCCACCGCGCCTGGCCAAGGGATTTTTTTCTGTTGTTGTTTGAGTTGGAGTCTCACTCCGTCGCCCAGGCTGGAGTGCAGTGGCATGCTCAACGCCACTCCAGCGTTGCCCTGCTAGTCTCCGGCTATCCTTCTGCCTCAGCCTTCCAGGTACCTGTAACTACAGGCGTGCGCTACCACGCTTGGCTAATTTTTTTATTTGTTGTAGAGACAAAGTCTTGCCAAGTTGGCCAGGCTGATCTCAAACCCCTGAGCTCAGGCAATCCTCTCGCCTCGGCCTCCCAACGTGCTGGGATGAGAGGCTTGAGCCACCGAGCCAGGCTTGTTCCCCTATTTTAAACTGCAGTCTTCTGGACGCAAATATTTGACTCTAACTAGGGGAATTTATCTCCACCTGCAGGCAAAATGAAGGACCGGCTAGCAGAACTCGTGGAGTTGTCCAAGCACTATGATCAGCAGTTCCCAGACGGGGACGATGACTTTGACTCGCCCCACGAGGATATCGTGTTTGAAACGGACCACATCCTGGAGTCCTTGTACCGAGACATCCAGGACATTCAGGATGAAAACCAGCTGCTGGCGGTCGACGTGAAGCGGCTGGGAAAGCAGAACGCCCGCTTCCTCACGTCCATGCGGCGCCTCAGCAGCATCAAGCGCGACACCAACTCCATCGCCAAGGCCATCAAGGCGCGGGGCGAGGGCATCCACCGCAGGCTGCGCGCCATGAAGGAGCTGAGCGAGGCTGCCGAGGCCCAGCACGGGGCGCACTCGGCCGTGGCGCGCATCGCGCGCACGCAGTACAACGCGCTGACCTTGACCTTCCAGCGCGCCATGCACGACTACAACCAGGCGGAGATGAAGCAGCGCGACAACTGCAAGATCCGCATCCAGCGCCAGCTGGAGATCATGGGCAAGGACGTCTCGGGAGACCAGATCGAGGACATGTTCGAACAGGGCAAGTGGGACGTGTTCTCCGAGAACCTGCTGGCCGACGTGAAGGGCGCGCGGGCCGCCCTCAACGAGATCGAGAGCCGCCACCGCGAGCTGCTGCGCCTGGAGGGCCGCATCCGCGACGTGCACGAGCTCTTCCTGCAGATGGCGGTGCTGGTGGAGCAGCAGGCCGACACCCTGAACGTCATCGAGCTCAACGTGCAGAAGACCCTCGACTACACCGGCCAGGCCAAGGCGCAAGTGCGCAAGGCTGTGCAGTACAAGAAGAAGAACCCCTGCCGGACCCTCTGCTGCTTCTGCTGTCCCTGCCTCAACTAGCAGACCGGCCCGAGCCCTCACCGCCCATCGTCGATGGAGATGTGGCCCGGAAGCGCGCGGGGAAGGACCACCAAAGGCCGGGCCCTCTGCTGGGGAGAGTTGCCCTACCCCTTGGAGAACTCGGCCTTTGGAGAAAGAAGTGCCCCGTTCAAGAATTCCAACCCAACTCGTGCTCAGAAAGATGGCTGATACCGCCCGATAGTTCTGCAGTACAGAGATCCCGATAGGGTTGTGTGAGGTCATCGGGTGACGATCGCACTCTTACCCTCTTGATAGGAGCCAAAGAAGGAACTGACGCCACATGTGACTGTCAGATAAATGTCCTAGGCGTAACACCTCATAAAGATTCAAGGAGGACATCAGTTTTGCATCTACTCATAGCATGAACTCATGGTTGCAACTTTAGTTTTTATTTACTCTGTTATGAAAGTTCCTTGGTTCTGTGCAATTTTGAGTGAAAAACTGGCCTTAAGAAAAACTGTGTGTCTTTTCCTTCTGGTTCTTTATCTGGTTTATGCTCTGTGATTCTCCTCAAACGTAGACCTCCTTTCTGCTCGGTGGTGGCCAACATCTTCACCTACTTGTTAAAATTACATTGAACACTTTCCTTATCTCTTCGCTTTTAATATCTTTCATCAGATTCTATTGTGGGATTATTTTTCCAAATATTTTAAAGCACTGGATATTGAACAAGCACTCAAAGTATCAGTCACATTTTATGTATTCTTCACAGATAAAATTATTTAAAATGTCTTTTTACTTGATGACATATGCACATATATGTCAATGTAAAATACTAATATTCATTAAAGTGTATACAAAATGACCAATGGTTTAACTTTGCTTTTGTAAATATGGCATATAACTCTGAAGAAAAACACTTTTCTGGCTATTAGTGTTTGCTTGTTTTGAGTTTATCTCACTCCAGTCTGCATTTCCATAGTCCAGTTTAGCTCAAAAAACTTTATTTTGAACAATCTGTGTTGGTTATGGTGATAAAGACAGGTATTGAAGGTTAAAAACAAATAGAGAACTAGAGATAATATAATAATGTTCTTGGAAATATTATATTTGTCTTACTGTGGGCCATTTCTTTCATGCATTGAAATGGAATGGTTTAAAATAAAATAATACTATGTTTCAAGTAGGTTTAATAAACAACATTACATTGTAAATATCCCTTTTACACATTTGTGTCTTGATCCTTTAAGTCTTAGTTATTGCTTTCAGTTATTGTTAAAATTGAAATTGTCAATTTTCAGCTATTGTTAAAAACATTTTTTTCTACTAGCTACTTGAGGCTACAACAGAACTCTGAGTGGGGGGGAATGAAAATCTCAAATAATTCACACAAGGATGTCTTGCTTTCTCTCATGAGTTACAATAATTTAGCAAAACCATTAGTCTTTAGAGATTTGGTTTCGTTTTCAAATTTGGTAATGCCCTTATCCCCATTTATACCATGTTTCCTGTCCTCCTTCTGAGCAGCTCTTAACTCTTTCTACTCACTACTTAATATATGAGCCAGGTTAGTCAGTGGTCACAGTTCTCAGGTCCTTCAGAAGGTGGAATTTTAAAAGGAATGGAAAGAGGAATATGTGAATTCTAGAGCTCACTGCTTGACTTGCTGATGACCAGGAAAATCTAGTCCCGTACTTAATTTTAATTTCATGGTTAAATATGAAAATTGTGGAAACCGAGTCCCACCAGGCTCTGCTCAGATTTCTTTCTCAGTTAAATCCAAGGCCATGTTTCACATTTGACATTCTCTTTCCCTAAGAGAGAGGGGAGAGTCTTTCACATAGCTCCATTGCTGTTTTTCATGTTAGTGAAGAGATATTATAAATAGAGACTGACAGCTAGTTTCCACAAGAAATAAGCATTCATAAATGTGACTTGTTTAACTCATAAGGCATTTTCTTTGCTTAGAATCATCATAAAAATAAGTTTGTTTCCAGGCTCTGTGTATTTTTTGATTCTCCACATTTTATGCTAGAGAATCTGGCAAAGACTGTACTTCACTGCACCAAGAGAGTGAGTGAACCATTGCCAATGGAAAGGCAAGACTTTTTCTTCCTGCAGCCTAGTAACACCTGAGTGTGGCATAGTGGTTAAGAGTATAGATTCTGAGCTGGGCTCGGTGACTCACACATGTAATCCCAGCACTTTGGGAGGTGGAAGTGAGAGGATTGCCTGAGCTCAGGGGTTCACCAGCCTGGGCAACTTGGCATGACCTCATCTCTACAATAAATGAAAAAAATATAGCCGGGTGTGGTGGTGCGTACCTGTAGTTCCAGCTACTTGGAAGGTTGAGGTGGAAGGATCTCCTGAGTCCGGTAGGCTGAGGCTGCAGTGGTTTTGAGCGTGCCACTGCACTACAGTCTGGGTGACAGAGTGAGATTCCAGTTCAAAAAAAAAAAAAAAAGTACAGATTCTGAGCCCCACTTCCTAGGTTTAAATATTCTGCCACATACTAGCTGTATGACTTAACCTAATCTTTCTGTGTCTCAGTTTTCTCATCTGTAAAAGGAAGGTAATTTTATCTACCTCAAAGAGTTGTTGTGAGAAGTAAATGACTGAATATGTGAAAACACTTAGAACAGTGCCTGGTGCGTGCTCAGTGCTATGTTCATTATTGTTGTTATTACATGACTTCTCTTAGACTGACCCAAGTAAATTGAGAGTTTTTAAGTTCAGAGGAAAAATGAAGGCTTATTCTTCTGTTAATGGTCTTGAATAAAATGGAATAAAGAAAAGAAGATCCTATCTTCTGTGAATATTAGAGCTTTTTTCCTACAATGATGAAACTGTTTGCACTATGGTATTTCTATTTCCTTGTATATCAAGTGTGTTCTGAAGAAGAAATGAGATGTCCCCCCCAAAACAGGTAAGCAGAAAGTAGCTATTCTGCTCAATTTGGCCAGTGCTTGCTTTTAATTCTTCCCAAACCAGGAGTCAGAAGGTCCCAGAAAGAGTTCTTGGAAGTTGTAGAGGCTGCATAACAGATCTTTTTTTTTTTTTTTTTTTGAATTGGAGTCTCACTCTGTCACCCAGACTGGAGTGCAGTGGCCGCTCCCGGCCACCGCAGCCTCGTCCTGCTGGGCTCCGGTGATCCTTCCGCCTCAGCCTCCAAGTA